CCAATCTATCGTCCAGACTTCTTTCGATAGAGGAGATTCCTCGTCATAAGCCACCATGTCTCTTTGCGACGACAGGGATTTGCCTGCTCTCTATGTGAAGGTTTCGAGCTCTGGACCTAATGATTGAAAGGTGAACTCTACCTCTCGCTCACAGGAGCCCCCCCCCCCTCCTTCCCCTGTACATTGTGATATAGCAGAACAGTGTCTTTAGAAAAGGGTGGCCATACTGTAGGCCTTCCGTGTTGTGTGTAGAACGGAAGCTTTGACTTGACTGCTGATGTCCAACGCACCGAGTGACCTTGATGCACAGCTTCACCATTAACGATCAACTAAATAATAAAATTGCTAAAATAAAAAATAATAACGCACCAAATTAGGTTCACGACGCTGATTCCGAATATGAAATCAGTTTTTACCTGCGGTAATTATTTTTACACACGTCGCAGCGCATCTCCCTCAAATTTGACTGTGATCGCACGGAAAATATCAAGCAGCGCTTGATTTCTCGATCGAGTCTCCAAACCATCGTCCAATCGTCCAAAATTTGTACAATTGTGTGGTTACACCTAACGATTTATCGTATAATCGCAAGATCGTCCTGTTTTTGTACAATTTATCGTTACGTGTAACCGGGCACACGCCGAGTAAACGCTCAAGTAATCTGCCTTCGCGAGCAACTACATGGTGTCTTGTGGGAGCATTTGGTAGTTTAAAAAGAAATACAGTTCTGATGACCTTGGTATAGATCTAGATCTAGTCTCCTGCAACTGGAAGCGGAAACAAGGTCTCAGCATGTCACAACAATAACATTTTCCCTGAGCTATGACATTTCGTATCTCTGTGAAATGTTACCCACAGAAAAAAATGTGGCGCTCATTCTCGAGGGCTGTCCGAAAAGTGACGTGAGAATGGTCATATTTTAAAAAGCAGTTACTCTTTTCACTTCACATGTTGTAACCTGGACGCAAAATGTACTTTAGACCGGCGTCTGTGGTGTAGCGATTAGGCGCTTCACTGGAGACAGCAGGAGATCTGAGTTCGATTCCCAAATGGGTAGACATTTTTATCGAGTATCCCGGTTTTTCTGCTGGGATAATATAGTTTCCCTTTCAGCCTGGGTTGGCCCTGAAAGACAGGGTAGGGTAGGAAGCTCACCTTCTATATTAAATGACCTAAATTGTGTCGATGGGGTCGTAAAGACACGTCCTGTATTAAAGAAAAAAGGTAATGCAAACTTCTTTTAGGTGCTGCAGTACCAGTTGCACCTCTGAGCATTTCTGAGGCGACCTGTAAAACCTATTCAGAAGACGCACAGTCATGAATAAAGATACATGTACAGCCTGGATGCCATAAAATACAGAGTGATTAAAAAAGAATACGCCAAAATCATCACGCGATATACAATAGAAAACTCTAGCTTGGACACATGTGTTGTACATAGATCTAATATCTTCAAATTTTTATTTAATGTTTTACAATTGCTCACAATGTGGACACCACCGGAAGCGCGGACAACATCAGGCCGATACATGTATTAGAATTCCTCCTAACGCGCCTCAGAATGTCTCAGACCTTCTTGTTAACTAGTTGATTGTAGCTGTTATTCGATCTTTCTTGTCATTGATATTTTGAAATATCGTTTGATGATATAGGCGTATTGTTTTTTAATCTCCCTGAACGTTGTATTGGCCTTTGTCGAATTTGAAGTCTCAGTGTCGCGCCTTTCATTACTCTCTCTTGTTTGTTTGTTTTTGTAAAGTGTTTTACGGCGCTGGCAACTGCATAAGGCCATATGAGCGCGCGGGACACACCTAATATATTTTCAGTTGGTAGGAAATTTTGAATTTTGCCCGGGTGGCGGCCGAAGCCTACTCTTATCGATTTTAGACCACCAAGGGATCTTTAACGTGCGCAACTTGCACACGG